TTCGACTTTGACGCTAGCGTCAAAAAAGGAAGCTGGATTTTCTCAGCTTTAGCGTCAAAGGCTGTTGTTATTTTGTTCGGAACATTTTAGATATACGAATTATACGATTGACGTTAAACTTGATATTGCCGCTTTTCGTGCAAGCCAACTATGATCACGTAATTTTGACGCCAAAAATGAGCGTCGAGCGTCAGCATGAAAAGGCACCTTTAGAGCACGATCATGCTCGATCAGTCTCTTGTTAGAGACAAGACTCGCTCTATATATTATAATCAAGATTTAAGTAATAATATTAGTTTATGAGTTAAAAGTTAACTAAAGAAGTTAACTAAAGAAGTAAAAAGTTAATAATTTTGAAATTAATTTTTGATTTAATTGAAGTTAATTTTTAATGAATTATTATAACTTAATTTTAATTTCAACTAGTTATTTTTAATAACATATAAACTTTAATATTTTTTTTAAGTTAAACAGTTTTTTTAATCTGATCTCTAAACACCTGCAATATTTTTCCCATAGAATTTTAAATATTATGGAGAATTAATTTAGAAAAAGCTCAATAATCGTAATAATAGACGCGATAACTTTCAGTTCCCAAAGGTGAACGGAAATTGATAAACAATTAAGATATATTCCATTTATACGTATGTAATGCGTATAATGCATAATTTATAATCTTTGTTTAACATTCGGTGAACAAGGATAAATGAATATATATGCGTAAAACGGAACACACCCATAGACTGCATTCGTAGAGCTATCAATACTATATAGTATATACACTGAGAAAAAAGTGTTAAATCAAATTAATAATTTCTTGATTCAACTATAATCTGCGATCACGGGGTATTAAACAAATATTTTGTTAATTCACAAAAATCATGTTAAATATGTTATTAATGTATGTTTAATTCAAAAACATATATAATTGAACCAAAGAAAAACTGTCAATAAAACAATATTTAATTATTTCAACAACTTTTTCTTCTCAGTGTAGATATAGAATAACACAATAGCGCTGATAACAACAATAGCATACTTTTCGAAATCTCGAAAGAAATCTTAATATTATAGTAGGTATAGTCTATACTCATCATTAAAACAAATTAAATATTTAATTATCCATTGCAGTTGTTTTGTTATTTAAATTGAGAGTAAATTTTAAAAAATTATGATACATTTTATTTTAATATAATTCTTATAAAATTAATTGTTAATTTAACTTAAGTTAATTTAATCTTATCTCAGTTTTAAATAAATTACTTTTTTGTTCATGCAACTTTTAACATAACAAAATTAATTTTCTAAACCATTAATTGTAGCTTAATTTAGTTAAAGAAAAATATTAAACTTAGTTATCCAACCCTATTATAATATATCTGAGATCGTTTAAAATTGTTGACATATATATGTATTGTATGTATTGACGTCATATTACTAAAAAAAACGCATCTGTATACAATAATATCTTTTAAGCGGAAAACTGTTGATAGACTAGATAGCACCTTTAATCATACATTCCATTTTGTTATATAATTACAAGTGTATGTGTGTATACTTCTGTAATATTTTTTGCAATTGCAAATGTTGACAACAAATTATATGTTTGACGCAAGACTGCAAACATATACTTTGTTATTGCCAATTCGATCTGTTAGGACACTTTGTTAATATGCAACTACTTTTGTCGGCAAAATATATAACTGAATAGCAACTAACAGCAAGTAGAATATATTGATAGCAAATGTCAAGCAGTTTTGCTATTGTAAACGGTGTCAATAAACATCTCGCAAAAATGCAACAATGTATGCATGTTGACGATAGATATAGCTCGGATAAGAGAGTAAACAGATCCTGAATTTGTTGTATCAATCTGTCATCACATTGCTATTGTTAGATCTGCTCTGATATTGTCGTCAAATTGATTGCGGAATATGTTCTTCAGATTTGGTTCATTGAGGACCAACTGAGAATGCAATTCTGTCTACGTTAATTATCGTTCCGCTGACATTTATTTCCCATTTAGCGACATTCCACAATCAAAATATTTCCTGGTAGCAAACACTTTGTTGGACTTTTGTGGGATGTTACTTAAAGCTAATATTATAATATAATATAATACGTAATATTATAATATAATACATAAATATATTTTTACAGGTATATACATATTATTACATCATATACATATTGTATATTACATATTATACACATTATATATATAATATTTATATATTTTTATAATTATGGTAAAATTAATAGTATCTTTTAATATTAGATAATAATATACTTAATATTAGGTAATAATTTATTTTTAAATAGTAAGTGACATACGTCAAAAATTTTTAACCAATCTGTGACTAGTCTCGTCATGAGACATGAATCCTGGACAATACGTAATTGACATCACGCTAAATCCAATATTGAAACCAGAAAATTCTTATCACATGGTGATCTTTTTTACCGATTTTTTTAGTGACAATAATTATTTATTAGAAAATTTATAGTGATAGGTATTTATCGGTTTATTAGAATATTCATATATGAAATTAAATTGGAAATTAATGATTTGTGAACTGTGTAGACATTATATCATTTAGTTTTTTAATATTTTGTATTTATTAATTTTATTACATTTTAAGATTTGACTTAAAAAATAGTATGTTCAAAATATTTATATTTTTAATCAAATTCGCATATTCTATGCATAAATTATATAGTATAATTATTATGATTTTATAGTAATTAACTACTGGATTTGATTTTTATAAATTTAGTGCATCAACAGCTTTATGTTAAATGACTTTTGTAAGTTCAAGTTCAATAATTCAAAAGTTTCAATTTGCAGGCTAGCGTTATTTATTAGGTTTATTTAATAATAATAATAATCTTTTCCAGAGAAAACTATAGATTTATGAAATATTTTATCAAAATGGAAATGATATTTTTCAATGATGGATAAATGACATTTTTTGCAAAAATACGATATGCTCATCTCTGTTCTAATTTCTTAATAATGAATACACAAGTACATAAAACACTATACATGCAAATGCAAAAATAAACATTGTCCATTAATTATTAATTACAATTATTTTATATTTCTCTTTCTTTTAATAATTCATGCTAACTATAATGTGAAATGTGTGAGTACGAATAAAAATTAAAAACATGTAAAATATCGCTATTGTTCCAATACTTGTCTTAGGAAAGTTTTATTATTTTTTACTTGTATATCCAGATAGTACAAAAAGTTCAAAAAATTCACAATCAGTCATATGTCATCAATTCTGAGTTAATTTTCAGATGCAAAAAGAATTTTTTTGCATCTGAAAATTAACTCAGAATTGATGACATATGACTGATTGTGAATCTTTTGCACCCAAAAACGAATTCAGAAATGATGACATAACTGAATATACGAATGAATTCTTTTTTAACTTTTTGTGCTATCTGGGTATACATAAGCTTTCTAAATATTTAATTTTTAATATTAAAGGTAGCATCAAATGTGATTTGAATAAATAAATTTTACACTTAATACACTTATTATTGTTATAATTATTAAACTGGTTTCATGTATTAATCTTTCATGGATTAATCAATCTAGTGTTAATAAAAATATTCAAGGCACCTTGTTTTTTTATAAAATCTGATAATATTCGCGAAAACAAATTAAAAAGAACTATTATACTAATGATATCCAACTAATTCAGTATCAATCAGTAATTCCTGATTGAATTACTTGGACATCATTAGCATATAATTCTTTTTAATTTGTTTACGTAAGATAGCAAAAAAATTTTATTCGCGACTTCTCCGATAAGTAACATAGATCAATCCAATGTTTATGGAGCAGGATCATTCCTTATATAACAAAATGGTTTGTGCGTTTGGCGTTTAGCATATAAGACAGCTTTATGAACTATTTGATGCGCGACGTCATTAATTTAAATTTCAAGCGGATATTAACTTCTTGTTGATCTATGTCTAGGAAAAAGATGCTATAATCCTTGCATTGAAGTCGTTCAAATCGTATCTTCAATTCTTTGAATTGCTAATTTGTCGTTAAAGCGATATGACACAGTATAATTCATTGTTACTACCGAGCATTGTCTCTCGCTGTATTTAAATAATTATTTAAAACATCAATGATTAACAAATATGTTGAATATTTTCAACTTCTTTAAGATGTAACTGATAAGTATTGTATATATATTATATATATTAATTACATTTGAAAGTAGTTGAAAATATTTAACATATTTGTTAAACATTATTGATGTTTTAAATAATTATTTAAAATATTAAGCTGAATATGTACATAATATTTAATTAATATTTATAATATATACGTAATATTTAGTTTATATTTTAAATAATTAATTATATATAAAAGTGATTAATAGAAGGATGTTTAATAAGTTTGTACACACACACACACACACATTTAACAAATGTTCGAATATTTTTAATCACTTTAAGGTATGTTGAACTGACAAGAATTTTTTTTTTTTATAAGAGATTGTATTGTTGGTTACGAAGTTCAGGATGTTTCCAGAGAGCGATTTATATATACTGAGGCAAAATATAAGCTATTTCTTAGAACGCGCGCGAATAATACATTTTACAAAACTATTATTTCGTTATTGCTTCTTGTTGTGCGCGTAACACGATATATCATGTTTGCGGAAGTGCACCTCTGACCTTTTCTCATAGTATACTCGGGACGACTTTTCAAAAGACGTTCCAACTTCACATTTAACTTGAACAAGATACTTGTCTTGGGTTACTCTGATCCGCTTTGACATTGAACGTAACGCGTAGATAATTTTTAATATCTGAACGTAACATCCTGATGCGATTACGTTGCATTTTTCCGAAATAGCTCGTCTGCCTTCATCCGCATTCTTGCGGTTTTTGCTTGGTGCCTCGGCCGGCCCTTAAATCCTAGAATCACGTAGCGGTCGTTTCGCTCCCCTTGAAAACTATAATCGCGAGGCTCACGGTACGTACGAAACGTGTTTTATTTCCGGCTTTCTTGCGCGCTTGCATCAGTGCACCGCGGATTGCATCGTCAAGTAAGTATTGCGACGAGGAATTGATTAACGATTGATTTCATCGTAGGGACGGAGCGGCAAGAGGAGAGGAGTGTTGAAAGGATATACAGGGATGTGATACCTGCGATTCGTTTACGCTGCGTGAACGTATCGCATGCAGCGAGATGCTCACGTAAGTGGGAAATAGCGCGGAATCTATTGCCGCGGAGGGACGGAGCAGCATGAAAAGCCACGATCAGTGGGGTATGCATAGCAGCATGCACGGTAGCCTCTGCGAGGAAATCGGCGGCGCGAAACACGCGCTCTTAGCATTGTAGACTTAACTTTCTGCACACTGCAGTTAGAAATCACTTCGTAGGAAATATTTATAGACATAAATATTTGTTAAATAAAAATATCGCATTTGAAAGAAAGGAGTCGATTAATTTTCATTTTATTTCACATATATTAATGATAATCATGATTCATGAATAATAAACTAATGGCACATAAATTATTTTTATTGAAGAAATGTTCATCAATCTAATCTTATAAAGATGACCGTAAGTGATATTATAGACTTATTAGTGGGATAATTATTTGCTAGGTTAAATTATTGCTGCATGATAAAAATGTATATAAGTTAGCGCGTCTATCAGTTAGTGGAATACATCGAATAATTTAAAAAAATTTAATGTACGCTTTAATGTTATCTCTCAGTCCGCTCATCAATCTAATTTAATGAACGATTATAGAAATGATTATAGAAATTAACGTCTATCCATAACGATTATCTTACAATTAAAATTAATTTTTATATATACAAATAGATGAGCATACATTGGGTAATTTTTAGAAATTTTAATTTATGCTTCAATGTTATCGGAGTAATGTGCAGAAAATGGTCATAATTGAATGTAGGAACTGTCATAAATTGTTTTAAAGCAGTCTCGCGACACGGGAGTGCAAAACGCGTTAAGTGCATCGATGTTTCTTCGCGAAATCGACGGAATCGGCGGTGGTGGCGATTCGCACACGCTCGCTATCCAAGTCCCGGCGCCGCGGTTTTCCCTACCACCGCGACTCTCGATGGGCACTCGGTGGGTATCTGGTGGGCACCTGGTGGTCTCTACTAGCGGCGGCACTACATCGCACTATCTCCTCACTCGCTATTCGACAGATCGTGGACCGCGCGCGTACAACCAAACGTCACGTCGGGTCTTGTCTTCATTCTCGATCGTCTCGTCTTCTTCTCTTCCCTTCATCTTTTTTTTCATCCTCCTCTTTGTCTTCCCTCTCTCTTCCCTCCTCCCCCCATCCTCGTCGTTCTTTGCCTCGGCCAGATAATCCACTATTTTCTCTCTCCTTTTTCTTTTCTCTCTGTCTTCTCTATGTTGACGAGTCGCGAATTAAAAAGGGGACTTGCGATCGCCCGCCAGGATTTATTCGCGAAGACGCAACGAGTGATCTTCGCGCGCCGAGTGCAATCGCGATCTTTATTGTGATCGACACCGGCCGTTGCAGAAACGCCTCATTTTTATCAATGAGAACGAAAATATAAGAGCCACGATTCTTGTGACCGTCTACGGAAAGTGAACCTAACAAACATGTCATGATTACCGCGCCGTTTACGGATCACCTTCGGGCAAATCGACAAGTACTTTGATCAATCGATCTCGGGTTTTTTGGTATTTTTCCATCTGGCAAGGTCGCTGTGTCGAAGGAGACGGAGGGAATCACAAAATTCTGTGCCGATTTTGATATTCGAACAGATTCCAATTTTCTATAATTGAATGTCAGTATTTTCTTTAAAATATCGAGAGTCTTGCATGGAGGTCAAGACGCAAAACTTAAATCTGATAGCAAGATAGAGAAATCTGTCCGGTATTTCTTTCGCCGTTCTTCCCACTCTCCTTCTTGAGCTCGTGAGTTACATAAAGAAGGATTTTACTGGTCAGTTAATGAACCCGGTTGTGCGTGCACTCGAGGAACATCCAACAACGACGACGACATCGAGGACGAAAACGGCGGGGACGACGATTGGGCTGGTATTATGTAAGTAAATATGAATAATTTGTCATCTGAAAGCGACGAAGAATGTGGCCCAAGAACACGATCGGGTAATGACGTATTGCACGCATTGGAAAATACCTAGCGCGATCTGAGTGATCTGAAGGAAATAAGTGTATCAAAAGAGAAGTTGAAGTTTATTTTTTGTATGACTGTTGAATTTTTCATTGTTCTTCTAATTTTGGAATACTGGTAAAAAGATTGAAATGAATAAAAATAATTAATAATTTCTTGAATTATTCAAAAAAATAGAAGAGAAAAATAGATAAAAGTGAAAAAAAATTAATTTTTATGTTTTAACTGAATTTATTAAATAATATCTTAAATATTTTAAAGATTGTGATGAAAAAGTAATTATTGCTTAATAAGTTTAATTAATGTAATTAATTAAAGAGTATATCTTCTTTTGAGGGATTATCTCTTTTTAATATTAATAAGTATTAATATCGTGCAATTTTGTTATTATTGTTTGATCGCGTATCTATAATTATACATTATAAGTCTCGGCTGATTTATTTGATCTTATTTGTATCTTGCGTTTTAACGAATCTCACAAAATTTTAATGTTTTTTGAGCATTTATTTTTATCTATTAAAATTATAAAATGTATAGACTTTCTCTCTTTTTATGAGTCTTAATTATTTTAATTTAATATAAATCAAGAATATATATATATATATATATATATATATATATACGTATAAATAAAAAAATACAGTATCTATAAAAAAATCTAAAAGTATTTTATAGTATCTCATAGGATCTGAAGAAATACTTGAAAATTTGTGGAAGTAGAATTTTTCTCTCTTCTTTTTGCTCTTTCTCAAAAGTAAAAAGAATAAGATGATAAAGAACTTGTTCAAATGCATTAAAGGATACATACAAAATAATGTTATATATATATATATTTATTTATTATACATTTATTACCTTCTTTAAACGAGATTGTTTAATTTTGGGATTATAATAGGTACGAATATTTATGATTTTATATATTACGCTAAAATCTCAATGATGTGACCTGGATACATGTAACTCGACACACTTAAGCTGTCGACTTAAGATGTACACAGCGGACAAATTAGCTACATATAACAATTATGCATATAATGTATCGAGAAATCTTTCTCGCAATACGTGATTTATCGTCCGAAGAAGATTGATTATTAACATGATATTAAAAGCAAGCGTATTACTTAACGTTAACGACTCCTGCGGCGAAGCTTAGACACTGACCGATTTCTCGTGTACCACTTAGAAGCGTCGCGGAAATGAGTCCTTGGAGAATAGAAACTTCGCCGATAGTTTTCAGGTTATCGAAATCAATATCTGTTATTTCGATGTACACTGATATGTATCATGTCATTTCAACAGAAGAGGATAAAATTGGGAATTTCTCAACTCTCTAGAATATATGTATCAATCTAGACAGCACGCATGTTGCGTGAAAATTGGAACATAAGACGATACATTAAGTCATCTTTTAGATACGGTGTCTAAAAGGCTTCTTATATCCCGATTTTGGACATGCATGCTATCTGGGAATTTTTCGTCCTCAAATATTTATTACCGATTTTAAAATATATTAATGAACGTTTAGATATAATTTGTAAATTTACAAGTCAATTCGCATTTTTGCTTTTTTTTAGTTAAAAGTCAAAGTCAACTGAAGAAATACCGGATTCAGAATTTTTTAAATAATAATAAATTTTATCTCTTAATTAACATAGAATATAATTTACGCATTCAAATCATCAATTAAGCATATTTTAATATGGAGATTTTAACACATAATTATTTTTAAATAGTTTTTTACATTTACTATTTTTTATAATTACTGTTCACTTATTAATTTGAATTTTTAATGCTACAGTTTTTATGTAAGAATTTTTTTAATAAACTCTTTTTAATATTTAATTTTTAAGACTTATAATATTACTCGTTTCCACGTGAGCTAAACACATTCTCGTTTCTTCTCTTGGAATGTTCATTTATAGCTTAATGCCATCGAAAACACATTATCGGGGAGATACAGCCAAAATTATGAGTATAGATAAAATTTTTATCGCGCATCTTTATTACACGTACTGTTGTGTCTCGAAAATGTTAAAAGACATGGTATATTGATTTGTTTGTGAAAATGTAGTGTCAAAAGTTCAGAATTCTGAACTTTAAAATTAAAATAAAATTTTAATTATCCACCAGAGAAAACTTCTGAATTTGGCGTAGTAGTATTTGATTTTAACCACGCGAGTAATTCGAATGCGTATGTATATTATTCTCGAATTAGAATTTGTTAGCCATTTCGAAGCACCGAATCCGTTGCATCCGTTGTATCGCTTATTTCGCGATATAACGCGAAAACGGTTAAAGTGTGCTCTTCGTTGGACTGTTCGGCAATGCGGAACGAGTAATCATTATTTTCCTCTTTACCTTGCATTGCTCATACGTGTCGTTTCGCTATGTCATTATCTACGCGTCGAGCGAGTCGTTCTCGCTGCAGCGTGCGTAACTTTAAGAATACTTACGGTGGATCCCGAGAAGATTATTCGGCGATGATAACGTCGTTTCATCGATTGCGTGTAATTGTTATCATCAAATTTGAGCGATAACTCAACTCACTGCGGTTAACACTTTTTTTAACGCAATTAATAAAATTATCGCAAAGTTGCCTCCTACAAAAAGGTATAGCGTGCAATTTTAATGGCCTATCACATTCGCAATTTCATGAGCAAAGTTTTGATCAGCGCAAACAGAGATTACTGACATTTAATTACCGGTATGTTGCACGGTGTTTTTCATACCGCGTGTAAGAAATGGAAAGTCCCTCTTCAGTGACTCGCCACTCTTTTCAGGAATATTGCTTAAGATAATACGGTCGGTATGGATTATTTCGAAATTCGAAGAAACCCCGAGAAAGCAATTTAACGTCGACGAGGCGAGGTTTATGCGCACGTGTATGCACATGAATGCATTATCATGTAATTTTTGCACGATTATCATGTAATTTTTGCCCAATTTTTTTTTGCAAGAAATCCACTGTCGACGATATCACTTTTTATTCCGCGTAAATTAAAAGGATAACACATGCGGATGCCAAATGATTAACAACTTTTTAATACAAAGGATATAAAGTAAAAGTCGCGTTAAAACGCCAATCCAGATAGCATACAGAGTTAAAAGAGAATTCATTCGTTTATTCAGTCGTATGTCATCAATTCTGAGTTCATTTTCAGGCGCAAAAAGAATTTTTCTTTTTAGACTTTTTAGACAAAGATTTCTTTTTGCATCTGAAAATGAAATCAGAATTGATGACATATGATTGATTGTGAGTTCTGTTTAACTCTCTGTGCTTTCTGGGAATTACGCTAATACATGAAGTGTTTTTATCGGTATTTCAAATTTTCTACGAACGAAAAAGATATTTTCTGAGAAAACAAGACGCTATCCTTTTGACTTCTTTGAAGTATAGTAACATATCTTTACAAAGTACGTGACGTCAATAGACATTCTCAGGCTGCTTTTAACAAGCGATTAGCGATAAATATGCCGAAAAGAGTAAATGGCATAAGTAAATCTTATCAGCATTGAAAAAAGACAGTTTGATAGAAGTTTCTGCACATAGGCGTTAAAATTTCAGACAACTTGAGATGATATCAGATAATTTCAGATAATATGCAACAAGAAGATTATTGTTGATGAAAAATATTAATACATACTAAACCAAACAGTTTAAAACAAACACACATATTAGATATATAAAATATATTTAAATAAACATTAGTATATTAGAAATTTGATAAAAATAACAGTTTTTATAGAATCTGTTTATCTATTAAACTTCTAAAAAAAGGTATTATGCATTATGATAAATAATAAATTATGCATTATTATCTAACTCTAACTTGAATAGCTTGAATACTCCTCATTAAACTTCTAATTAATATACTTCGATCCAATTAGATTGCCATTGATAAGACAAAAGTGTTTTCGTTCTTCTGAAACGGCATTATTGTGATCGCAATTAAATACTCCCGGTAATATTCGTATCGTAAATAACGACCTAATTAGATCGATTCAAATTGTAATTAACAAATGATCAAAAAATAATCCAATTACGATTAAATTATGATGGAAGAGAGACAAAGGTATTATTGTTCGTACCATTGAAGAGTTCAAAATAATAAATAATATAATTAAAAACTGTGAAGATAATAACTAAACTTTTATTTTATTTATTGCAGAACAATTTCTTTTTCATAGTTTTCTTTAATTATAACTTTTTAGTACGAAATTCAAATTTTTTTCTGATATATTTTATCAAGTTTTTAAAGAAAAATACAAAGTACGAAGATTTTAAAAAGTGCAAGATAATTGAAGAGTACATTTTTTTTTGCTTTATTAGCATTAATGAAGCTGTATTAACGTTTCTAAATCAATCAAGTAAGTAATTTATTGCGCAAAAAATAATTTTTTTTAGGAAAGATAAACGCAACGCGGTACATTTTATTTATATACACTGATTTAGTTGCGTATCCGTAAGAAAAAATACTGCATGTAATCAATAATGTATAGAATCTATAATGTCAGAGATATTATACTGTTCATTAATTTATTACTATTGCTCTTCTGAAGTAAATATAACGTGACATGTTTTATTTATATACACTAATTTAGTTGCGTATTTGTAAGAAAAAAATACTGCGTGTAATGAATAATGTATAGAATCTATAATATCGGAGATATTATACTGTTCAGTAGTTTATTACTATTGCCCTTTTGAGGTAAATATGTAATAAGTAAACAATAATGGTACATTGATACGACTGCTGGTAAAAATAAATAAATTTAATATAAATCTACGGATTGAATTGGAAAGTTGAGAGCAAGTGAAACATAACGAAAATAATGAAATTAAATTTATGGATAGAAATATGGACAAAAAAAAAGGAATATTTTAATTCGAATTTTGTACAATAAAGTGA